TTAAGCACTGGCTCAAATTATACTTTGTTAAAAAGATCTGTGGAGTAGAAGAAAATTACAGTGAGACTGGTGAAGGGCATGGTGAACAACTGTTTATCAGGGCACCCTTGTGGGGGAGGGGGTGAACCAAGAGTAATGGCCACAAACTCCTGGAAGACCGTTTCAGGCTCACCATTAGGAAACACTTTTTCACAGTTGGTGTCCAGGCTCCCTTCAGAGGTGGTGCAATCACCCGCCCTGGAAATCTTCAAGAGGAGACTGGACTATCACCTTGCTGGGGTCACCTGACCCCAGTTGTCTTTCCTGCGTGGTGTAGGGGGCTGGCCCTGATGATCTTCTGAGGTCCCTTCCAGCCCCTTACAATCTGTGGTGCTACTCTCAGCTGCTCTGGTATAACTGAAGTGACAAGAAAAATATGCTATAGAGAGCGAGACGCTTATAAAGAGAGTACTCTACATAGAAACCTGTAGGTAGCAAAATTTCTTAAAGTGCTATTTATCAGCCTGTTTGGGGTCTCATTCAGGGAAGCACCTCTATTTAGGAAAGCCCATAAGTGCACTCTTCATCTTTAAACAGTAATATGCTTTCCTGATTTTTATGGGTCTTAAAGTTCTATGCAAGGGCAGATTGAGATAGGAAGCCAAGGCATGGTCATACCTCCTGTTGGCTGTGCTGCACTTGAGTGACTTTTGAACCACTCCAGAGCCCAAGGGGTGAGAGCTGCAACCTCTGCTCATCCCCTTCTTCCCCTGCTGCTGAGTTCAGTGGGGAGGGGGAGAAAGGGGAAGGTTGAACAGCATCAGAGTTCACCCCTAGGCTCTGGAGACTTGTGAAAGCAGGGGCTCTGGCCAGACCCTTCCCCAGTCAGCTGGTGAGCTCAGAGCTCACTGCTCCTGTGGAGCTCCAGTAGGACCCTGTGCTGACTAGTGAGCTCAGAGCAGATGCATGCACAGCTAAGGTTGGGGGCTGCATTCCCCTTGCCCCGTTCTTGGAGCCTCTACTGGTTCCATCCATTTAAATATGTCAAACAAAATGTTCTGGTTGCCACGGTTTTTCTGTTTGTTCTTTCATTTCAGTTGGTAGAGCAACCGGCTATGGATTTCTAGGACATGGATTTAATCCCAGGTGAGGGTGACAGGTTTCCACTTACTATTTTTACTTCTAATACGGCCCTGAGGTCCATCCAGCCTCCTAGCCAATGAGAACCAGGAGCTACCTGGGGGTAAATGTTTGCTAGAACATGCTGCTGACCACGACACTTCCTTTCCATGCTAAAGTTAAAGAAACAGGGGAGCCCTGCTTCCACTGCCCCATGGTACCTCAGTGGCTTTTAAAGAGGGCATCTTTACCTTTACCTTTTGTTTAATTGAGAGAGCCAAAAACATTTCCTCTTGTTTTGAGGATATCCATTTTTTTTTAATTTTTAGATTTTCTTTATTTTTTCCGCTCATGAACTGAAGAAATAAATTATTCTTCCAGTTCAAGCAATGTCATCATAAAAAATGAAAATGAATGCCCTGAAGAAGGGTGTTTGTGCCCAAAAGCCTGTAAAGAACATTATTTTCCAACTATTTAGTTGGTCTAATGAAAGATATCACATTTAACCAAAGAACCTTGTCTATCTGTGTCCTTAGACCAACATGGTTACAACTAACAAACCTGGACTGATAAATGAATCTTTCTATTTAGAGTTTCACAATGAATAGAAAGTTTTATGATACATTTATATTCTTAAGGCTAGATCACACTCTTCTTTAAGTCACTGCTGTTGTCTTCAATGAGGACAAAATTGTTATTTATATTGATTGTGTCTTAAATTTAGCATAGTTCTGTACCTTCTTTTCAGCACAGCTTGTATTAAAATAGAATGTTTTAAGGATCACATCATGCTTTTTGGCACTAAATGCAACATGTTCTGTCACCCTATGATATTAACTTTCAGAGCATTTCATATACGAGGTAGAAAATTTTCTTGGAATTGAAAGACATGGCCAAATTCTGTTGTCTTGCAACAGCATAAAAGCAAAATAATTAAATTTAATGTAGCTACACTTGACTTGCAAAATAAAGTTTGGATATATGCATTATATATACTTATATGGGTAATATGATAGGTAGATATCTATCTTGTATATATTTTACATACATGAGATCTATCTCATGTATGTAAAATGTATGCATATATATCTATACACATACTATTAAGTATATGTTTCATAGTTTCATAGTTTCTAGGGTCGGAAGCGACCTGAGCAGATCATCTAGTCCGACCCCCTGCCGTGGCAGAAAAGAGTACTGGGGTCAAACGACCCCAGCAAGGTGTTCATCTAACCTCTTCTTAAAAACCCCCAGGGTAGGAGCCTGCACCACCTCTCTTGGAAGTTGGTTCCAGACCCTAGCTGCCCTGACCGTGAAATAGCACCTC